CGCAGTGAACGCAGAAGGCGGTTGCGGTCCTTTCAATGTGAATCCGTTGGGTAGAGTGACCACCAGTGGCTTTTCAATATTCGTCCCATAACCGGCCAAGTCCGTTTTTGTGAGCAGACCACCTTAAAGTAAGAAGATGCAGTCTTTAAAAAAGAAAAAATGGCAGAAATGGCAGAAAAATGGCGAAAACAGAGGCGAAGAATCCTTCCTCACTTCTTGACAACAAGGAAGGGATACCGTGTTGATTGACCACGACTCCCCCCGCAGTTTTCAATTCTTGAAAAAAATGGTCCCAAATTGGAAATTCACACGGGGGGGGGAACACATGATCGAGTCATGATTTGTGAGATCCTAAACTTACAGACATGATACACAGTTGGGGCCAATGGGCGGAACATGGAAATCGATGTTTAAGCGGTCAAGTTTTATATTTATATTATATTTATATTTATTTTACAAAAAAAGTACATGAGAAAACACAACAAAACGGTCCTCTAATCTGTCAAATATGAAAATTTGAAACCGAACCAACTTAATTTTATAATATAATACCTTTACCATGATCTAAATGAAGGCTTGATCTGCGAAGAACCTAGATAGGTAAATCCTTCTCCTATGTAGACCTACTGCAGTCTGCAGGAACTGAACTGTGCAGCCCCTGCGGTCCAGAACTTCGTAATCTACGTTTAGCTCATCTCCGATGGTGTCCCGCTTGCTTTCTCATTCCGACGCCCAGTGGCTGCTCGTCGTTTTACAAGTCCCACTCCGAAACTGAGGTCTCTTTTCAGTTTTAAGTTGTTTTGTTGGTTAACTGCTGTTTTACGCCGCAGTTCGCGTTGCGAAAGTTATCACAAGAATGCTGAGTTGTGGGCAAAACTTTCGCCCCAGCCGGGATTCGTACCCGGATCTCTTGCTTTCCGGGCAATTGTGCTACCAGTTACGCTAGCGGTTTACCGCCGATATCGGCTAACCGGTTCATCACGTTATACGTGTGAATGCTGATAAGCTATGGTACTTTACCATCGAAGCTGAGTTGGGGTGAAATGGTGCCCCGGTGGTGTAACTGGTAGCACAATTGCCCGGAAAGCAAGAGATCCGGGTACGAATCCCGGCTGGGGCGAAAGTTTTGCCCACAACTCAGCATTCTTTGATCTCTTTCCAAGGTTTTATCTTATTCGTTTCCTTTTTTACACCGGTGGCAATCCAACTTGGACCTCTGCTTTCATTTTCGAGCCACACCAAGGTGACTGTGAATACGATTATAATTTAGTAGTAAAAAATAATATAATAATAAATGATGTAATAATAATAAATATATATGATGGTTATAAACGAGATCAGGTCACTTGAAGAGAAAATCTACTTAGATAATACGGCACAAATTTTTCCTCCTGACTTGACAAATTATCTCCTACTTTTGGATTACAACACTTTGAATGATTCATGTAAACGATGATCACTCCTCCAATTTCTGGACATTGAATATATTTTGAATATGAACACTCACCACGTTGTTTCATTTCGTGGATGATTTGATTAGCAATATCGCCTCTGTAGAACAACTCCACAGGGTCCCGAGCAATAGCGAATCGGCGAAGAAATGCAGCGTGAATCGGATCACGGAATAATACCTCAGTATGAGGGATCACAATTAGAGCGCTGTCTAAAATGAACTTCTTCTGAAAGTGTGCATGAAAAGAAAGGCGTAAGTAAACATGGGACTTGTGTGAGGTGAGCCTACGTATCTCACTTTACTCTTCGGGATTGCCGAAGTATGACAATATCTGAACTTACCGATTGTTATTCAAAAAAAGTCTCACTCAAATTTTAACAGATGTTGAGTTGATAGATCGATATGTGGGCGCGATAGTGAGTTGAATTTACGGGGTATACTATCATATTTCTTCTGACATGATGAAGCCGCAACCATAATCTTTCAGATCGCTTCAACAATTAGGACGATGGGTCCAGAGTTACGAAAATTTGTGAAAAGAACAACAAATGCCAACTTCATGCTCCTCTCCGACATAATTTCGTTGTGTCGACTCTTAATAGCATCAACAAAATCACCGCTGGTTGGTGTACCTGGAACTGGTATGCTTTACAAATCGAACCAGGCAGGAAACTACTCGATGAACCTCTCTCCAGTAGTAGTACCGTAGGTATGAGTAGATCCTGCCATGCTATCCTACCAGGACCCATATCTCTTGAATGCCGTCCAAATCCCATGCAAGAACCCCGGAGTCGCGATTGAAGAATATCCTAGACAAAACTGATGTTATATTTATATTCCAGGTTTCCATTGAACCTGGCCTTTTCTGAAGTCCGCAGATAACGCCAGAAGTACACGAACCAATTTCAGCTAAAGCTGGATTGACAATAAAAGTTTCTTCTGTAGCACTTCGTGGAGCTGCTGAATACGCACTGATCACTATCGTTTCGTTTTTATTTCTGAAAAGAGCATCTTACTTATTCATGACATTTTCTGTGATGAAAAAAAAACACAAATTAAACCGAAAAAAAACACAAAACAACGAAAGATAGTAGATTAGGGTCTCCAGGTCACGATAGCTCATGGCTGAGCCGGGCTCAACGGAGTGTTCCATAAATTCAAAATCCCTATGTAATTTTTATCTGTCTGTTTGGCTGACTGTCGCTTGAGCAGTAGGTTGGTAGAGTGGAAGCCCCTCGCTATCAGCGGAGCTTTTTTGTGGGCGGAGTTCACAACGAAAAAGGCCCTTAAAGCAACAGTTCAGGGAGGGTCCGAAAATTTCAATGCCACTACTACTGAGGGATACACGAGCCCTAGTGAAGAACATATGCAGTGGAAATAATAAACGAACTTACCTCAGAAACTCAAAAACAGGGTGGAAAGTCCCTCAAACATGGGTGTTCTTGGGGATTTCCCCAATCCCGCCCCCTTGCCGGCCGTCATTGGACGCGTCGGCAATCGTGCTCGTTTTGGGACCACAGGGAAAATTGATTGAAAAATGGAGCGCGTTTACAGCGGGCACGTTCAGACAACTCGTCCAACGTGCGTCTTTATCCATTGCTGAGCGGCAGAGGGAGAGTACCTGTCTAAGACCCTCCCCGACGTTTTTTTCCAGTTTTTCATACATTAATCGTCTGGTTTTCATCTACAACTTCATTATTGGTGGTTTTTTCCCGCGAAACCGTTCCTGAACTGTTGCTTTAAGGAATCTTCCACGGAAAAAGCTCCGCCCTCATTACCACAGAAAATACCTTAAAGGAATCTTCCACGGAAAGAGTGATCATTTTGTCTTGTGTGTAGGATTAGTATTATCGAAACTAACGCTTATGTTCCGTTCTTTTTGCTATGCTCATGAGGCTAGGGGCCTAAGGGGTATCGTTTTTCTAGGGTAATGGAGGCGGAGCTTTTTCCGCGGAAGATTCCTTTAACACGTTGACGACAACGCGAGTTTTAGCTTCTTTGGCCATCGGACGCGCTCGATTTCGCGTGCAGTCCTACAGGCCAATTTCGTGATAAATGCATGAAAAGGTTGATCAAATTGACGTACGCATTTAATTCAGTGCCAGAATAACAGAAGTAGAAGCGCTCCAGAGATGCAGCAGTGAAATTATTGATCGAAGTGCGGATGAAATAAAAGGATAAAGGACAAAGCATTTGCCGTTAATCAATCCCGTCTTGGGATGCGGCACGCATTCTACTTCCATTCATTCCATAAGGGCGCGGGTTTCGTACAAATTGAGGACCCGGTTACAAAATAGCCTAGATATTTTGAGAAGTAGGGACACGTATATCCTAGCTCTTACCGATCGTGTAGAAGCATCACCAGTCCTCCACCAAAACCAGTCGCGTGAGGTCGAAGGCCTCCTTCGCAGATTACGGTGGCAATCGCCGCATCTACAGCGTTTCCACCTCGAATGAGTACATCTCTGAAACTTTAGATGATAATAACAGTCCAACCTTTTGTGTTGCCATTAGTTTCACAAGAATGCTGGGTTGTGAACAAAACTTTCGCCCCAGGCGGGACTAGAACCCGCACCTCTCGCTTTCCGGGCAAGTGCGCTACCAGTTACGCTACCGGGCACCATTTCATTCCAACTCAGCTTTTCATGGTATACGTACCATAGCTTTCAGCACTCACACGTATAACGTGTTGAGCCGGTTAGCCGACATCGGCAGTGAACCGCAAGGCGAATTTTACCAATCAAAAACAAGTCAAAATCAGCTGCCTTTCAGTGATGAATTCAGTAATGGTCTCGGAGAGCTCCAAGCTCCAAGCTAGCTAAGATCAAAGTCGGTTCATGTTTTTTGGCAGTCTCAAAAACGGCAACGGAAATTGCATCAATCACAATACATCTGTTTTTGCCAGTGCTCAGCGTGGCTGTTGCTTTTCCGAATGTTTGGTACTGGCAACTCAAGTTCATGGAAATGTATAAGGTTTGCCAATCACCGCTGAAAGCACACTACGTTTTCGGGAACCGGGAAGAGACCGAGAAAAAGCGAATATTCCTTTCCCACTCTACGTGATCTTTTGCCTATTTCGCCTGGCGAAGCAGAGTGATCTTTTGCGGTGCGTCTCGATGGGCGCCATTCAGTTTCTTCACACTCTCCGGAGAGCATTACACCAAAATTGCCGCGTATAATTAATTTGGCTGGCGGTTATGCGGCTGCCGGTGTTGTCGCAACCACTTCGACAAGTGGTGCAGTAATTGAGATCAATCTTGTCAAGCTTGAGTTTGTCCGATGATGAGCACTAAAACTGCCCAGTACATTCCTTTGTGACAAATGTATCGCCAGAAGAGTTCAGACACCAAGCAAAGCTTAGTTGGTCGATGGTGCCAAAATAAAAACTGCCCAGTACATTCCTTTGTGACAGATGTATCGCCAGAAGAGTTCGGTCAGCAAAATTCTCACCAAGGTAAAGGTTGCTCGTTCGTACTTCCGAAGCCTGTCCTTTTCAGGATACGCCACGCATTCATTCAGGACCGTAGTGGCAATTTGGATGCGCTCTAGCATGTGCACTGATATGCGGGGCCACCTTGATATCCAATTCAGTGTTTCTAACCCATCGGACAGCTCTGGTATCGATTCACCTAACCCTCAGCGATCGAAGCCCAGGTTGACTTGCACGGAACACCACCTTCCAATTTCAGCACAGTATTCGTTACGACTTGACACGGCAGCACGAGAAAATGTTCGAGACGTACTGTGCTGTGACCGCACCCATTCCAGTGGAATCTGAACAATAAAGCGGGATTTAAGCATTTTCTGGGCATCAAAAATGAACTGGAAAATAGTGCGAAGTGGATACCTTGCCAGTTGCGAGTGGAAGTGTTGCGCTGCTTTGGGCGTCATACTCGATGCGTTCTTCGGAAGATTTATCCAATTCGGAGGTCTCAACCTGAACAAATGTAGATAATTGTGGATTAGATTTTGTTCCTTTCAAATTACTATTTCATTATTATTACTGGTAAGACGGGGTGGCCTGGTGGTAAGCGGCGCTGTGTGCTCGTCTACAGGTCGGATCAGGGATGTAACCCCTTGTAGGCCAACCAACCTTTTTGCTCCAAGGGACTGAAAAACAAAAATGTGCGGCTCACAACAAAAAAGAAAAAAGCAATAAATTACAATTCCCTTATACTTTCGAGGACATGAAGAAAATATTGGACCTGTCGTTTGTTGCATTCTATCGATTAGTCCTAACCTGAACGGCTGGTATCTATAAGGAGACTTTCAAATTTTCATGTACATAGCATTGTGTGGAGGCTTAGGTGAACGAGTGAGACGAACGGTAAACGGCTTAGGTCAAGACTGGTCGCAAAAATGGAGCAGAACTGTTACGTGATTTTGCAAGTACGTTGTGAGCGATCTAATATGGCAAGAAATGCGGCAAAGAAGTAAGCTGCAGCACCAAACTGGCGCCAGATGGCTCCTGCGTCAGAAATGAAAGTCATACTTATGATCAGACCACCAGTTTACCCTATGAGCAGAGCTTCAATACTATGTACTGTCGCCGCATTTTCTGCCAATTTTCTTTGTCGCGGCTTATTTGGAAAGCACAAGTTAGCCGTTGTGATTTCCCATTTGTAACCAACATTCGTGACCGTAACGATTACACACCCAGGTCTTCATTCAAGCCCCTTGGAAATCTGAAATACTCCCACTAAGCAGTGAAACTCTGGTAAAGTTATGGAGC